GCTGTACAAATAAATCTGCCAGTCCTATGCTGATGGACTATTTATTGGTTCCAGGAGCTGATCCACATTTTTTCCTAAAATTTCATATCATAAACATGCGCAATGCTGTAGAAAGTATTAGGATAGTTTTGTAAGAAAAGCCAGTTTAAAATCAGGGCTTAGATCCTGCTACTCACATATGTTTTAAGAAAACAGAACTTCAGTCACTGTTAAAAAGACTTCACCACAATGTCCACAGCTTGCAAATGGTGCTCCATGTCGGGGAAGAAAGTGTCAAAGGCCAGGCTTATCTTTCATGGCTGACAACAGCCTGCAGTTACATTGCCCCCTGCTTTCAACAGTTGGCCTCCTCTCCTGCAGAAAACTGCTCATAGAGACCTGTGGTGAGATGAAATGTATGAGGATCCATTACTCAGGATTCAAGAAATAACTCCAGAGACACCAATACAGAAGCTCTGTGGAGGAAGTCTTTAAGCCATGTGCCTTTTTTCGGGTATTCAGGAGAGCAGTGTTATCCACTCAAAACTAACTTGCTGTTTTGGGGAGTATTGCACTGATCTTGGGGCTATTTTCAAAATTGGAGCATCTTACTAAAAACAGTCCCTGGAGCCTATGATAAAGAAAGTTTACACACTGTGAAGGTTTCTGTAGGCACCAGGCTTTGTTTTGGTCTGTCCAGAATAGATCTTTTTGATTTATTGCAGATCCTGTAATATCGCTTCACTCGGACTGCTTTGGTCTAAGCTCCTTCACACTAGATAAACAGGCAAAGGATCAAGTCTGTATAGAAAGGAGACCTCCTGCTGGTTGTCCTCCCACTCAGAAACAGATCCTGGGATTCTATACGTGGGATAGCACAGAAATGTCTGAATAGATTTACTACCATTTCTGTATACAAGTAGTGGCCTTCATTGGATGGAGTAAACTCTGCAAAGGGAAATCCTGCCTTGTTGAAGTTGTGTGAGGTATCCATCTATAATATTTTGTTCGGATTTCTGAAAAAACCCGTGACAAGATTCCTAACAAAAAGCTATTAAAGAAAATAAGTTGCCGTGGGACTGGTCCTTATATGAATGGAAAGCTGCCTGCAGGGTAGGAAACCAAGGGCTTAATGGTCACTTTTCAGGAATAAGAGGAGTCAGTAGTAGAGTCTCTTGGAGATCAATGTTGGAGCCAGTTTTATTTAAGATCTTCATCAATGACCTGGAGAGGGAAGCGGTGCAGAAATAAGTTTGCAGGCAATACTGAACTCTTTCAGGTAGTCAGGTGACACACACACAGCAAGGAATGGTAGAAAGACAACACAAAGCTGAGTGAATGGGGTAAAAAGCAGCAGATAAATTTCTTTATAGATATATGTAAGGCAATGCATCTAGGGAAAATTAACCTAAACCATGCCTATACAACGATGAACTTGAAACTGGCAGTTTCTGCTCAGGAAAGAGTCTGGAAGTCGCCCCTGACAGTTCTCTGAAATCATCTGCTCAAAATGCAACAGCAACAAAAAATACCAACAAAATTTTGAGTAGTATCAGGAAGGACAGTGAGAACAAAATAGAAAGCACTACTCTGCCGCTATATAAAGCTGTGGTCCAGCCACATCTTGAAAACCAGACAGAAAATCCTATTTCCACATTTTAAGAAGAACATAGGGAAATTAGAGGCAATGCAGAGAAAGGCAACTAACATGATTAAAGGGATGGAGCAGCTGCCTTTATGGGGAAACTGAAAGGGCTGGAACTTTTCATGATCTTATCCCCTCTGGCTGGATATGATCCCCCAGAGGAATATGATCAAGTATAGATTTACAAAATCATGAAAGCAGTGAGTAAAGCAAATACAGAATTGTCATTTGTCGAGTCCTACAGTGTCTTATGGGCACTCACTGAAACTAGTTGGAGAACAGTTTAAAAAGGATGAAAGGAAGTGCTTTTTTTATACAAGTAGCAAACTTGTAGAATGTGCTCTTACAGAAGGTTGCAGAGGCCCGCAGTATCAGCAGGTTCAAAGAAGCAGAAGTAGACAAATTCCAGGACAATGGGTCTGTAAACAGACACTATAAAGAACAGGCAGGAATACGCTCTTTAACATCCTTAAATTAGTTGTGGATGCTGGAGGAAAATGAGGGAGATGGACTGCAGGCAGGCCAGGATCATGTGCTCTCCCAGAATAGCATTTCATATTGCCACTGTTGGAGATGAAATGGACAATTAGTTTGACCCTGAAAGACATTTTCTATGTTGTCATGAAAATAAGACCCTGCATTCCTTTACTAGAGCTTAAAGCTGCCACTTCAGAGTAATTTCCACTCATTTAATTTTGATTGCATCTCAGTAGGCAGTAAACAGTGCAGGATATTTCTCAACTGGAAGAATTGTGTGGTAATTATCAATTACGAGATTTTTTTGTTGTCTTGACTGAGTCATTTTTTTCAGTGGAGTTAGGGAAAATATGGGTCTCTGCGAAAGGGAAAGGAGGTGAACAAACAACTTGGAATAGACTTGGGTCTTTCTTACAAATCTATAGAACTTAAAAGTGATGTAAATCCAATTGAACAAGACAGGTTGAGCGAAGAGAATGAGCTAAAAAATAGGCAGGCACAAAACAAATTTTAATTTTAATGGGTATCACTTCTAGAGCCATGTTGTGGTACTCATTACAATTTCTGGGTCAGAGTCCAATTTATGCAGCTGAATTTTGTTCCCAGATATTGTAATGATGTGAGTGTTATACTTTGCATGGTGGGTAAGTCATTGTTTTCAGGAATAAGGAATTACTCTAATAAAGCTATCAGCGGCTGGACCTAAATAATTTCCAAAAAGGACCAGAAGGCCTGGAGACTGTGTAACCACCTAATCCTTAGGGACAGTCCTTTCTTCCACACATCCTCCATATCAAACACCCAGAGAAGAAAGATGTCTCTCTCACCAGCAGTCTGCCTGTCCTACTTGCCTTACGGAGTTCAAAGTAGCATCTCTCTGCTCGGTGCTTGATGACTCCGTAGGGTTGGCTGTGGAGCCATGTGGAGCAAAGCGAGGAGTGGACAGAACCTGTAGAATATCACCTCCACTTGTCATGAAGTGTCTTTCAGTAGTTTCCACCAGCAGAGTCCAGATAGAAATCTTTCCTTTTGGCAGAGATTCTCTCTCATTTTGCGGATTTCAGGAGAATCAAACACTTTAAGTTTTATTGCTTCTACTTACCTAACCTTTTCTGTTCTACTCTGTTTTCTTTCACCATCCATCTAGTTCTAAATACCCAGCACAGCAGAGCGCTCCTTTGCTTTTTACTGTTTTTCTCTATTCCTTCTCTCAGTTCAGAGAAAAGGCTGAAAATGCTGAGGAGCTTTCCATTACTCCTCACCAGAAGGTGTTTTTATGTTGCAGAAAATACTGACAACATTTTTATTTTTATATATTGCTAGCTATTTTGTAAAAGGTATTCAAAGGCATGCTTCTGACACTTATTTATATTCACCAGGCATCATAGCATCCCAGGACAATTATCAGGTTGCAGTTTTGATATCCATTTGCTGTGTCACAATGCAGAGAAAAGTGTGTCAAATCATGTTGCCTGGAGAGGTGCTATTTTTGAGCAAAACGTTGAAACATGGCATCTCCTCTTTCATTTTCCTGGACAGTAGGAGAGCAAAGAGCTAATCATTGAAAAAAAATCTCACACGCTTGTTATCTGTGAGAAGCTAGCATTTGAATTAGTAGATGATGATTTGCTCTGCCTATAGTCAGTATGTTCCTGTACATAACAGCAAGAGTAAAAACCAAAATCAGTCATTTTCTTACTGCTTTTAAATTTAATTTGGTATTGTTTTCATCAGCTTTAACTGAGCTTTGTTTATTGTAGCTACATGAACAGAAAAAGAGCTTTACTATAATTAGAGATAAGAATTTGTTTCTGTTTAAAGTGCTCTAAAATCCACTGCTCATTTCAAATGCTGTGGAATTTAGTGGGTGTCTAAAGGGTGTATTAGGATGTGTTAATATTGAAATCTGGGATAATTTGAGCTGGAGATTGTTGAGGAACAATCCCCCAGGCAGAAACTTTTTTTTTTTTAAAGTTTGAGAGGTTCTTATAACGCAGTGTTGACATTGTCCCCAAACAATCAAATCACAATTCTGATCATGCCTAATTGATCTCAGTTGCTTGACATTTCCCACTGCTAGCACATAAGGCTCCCTACCCAGCATCAAGTAAGGAACCAAATTTTAAAGAACAACATTCTCTAAAACCAGACGAAACAGTTCCCTCCTCACACTCCCACGCCTCATCCATCTCACAGTGAATTCAGCTGAAGCCACTGCAGCTCTTTTCCCTGGCTGTAGGAAGAGAATAGAGGCTGCTGGCAGGCATAGCTTAATTCTTCAGGGTTTTTTTTTTTCAGAGTTCTTTCTGCACTAGATATCCTGCAAATGTAATCATACATCTTCCTCTGTCATCAGCCTGCATAATTAAAGGCTAAATCATGACATTGCTTTGCTTTGAAACATGAGAGCGAATACTGTTAAGCTGTCAAGGAGCAAATCTGGAAGCAGAATAGCTGCATCTCTAGTGCTGTAGATGCCAAAATCTTTACCACTTACATAGTAAGTGTAACCCCTTGGGGTCAGCACTGAGAAACGCCCTTTTTGGTATGCCCCAGGGAAAACTTCAGTGGCATCCAAGATTTAAATGACCTTTGAAGGCTCACTAACCTTCATACTCTCCTGAATGACCAAGAGTACCCATAGTAAGAGTTGCATCCCCTAAACCATTATTGCAGAGGCAAGTGTGATGCAGAGCACCTGTGTCAGCTGACTAAAGGTAAATTGTGAGCATCGCCTATGCAGCATTTTCTGAGTTCCCTAGCTTTACGTCCCCAGCAGTAAAAGCACTAAGAACCTGTTGAGACTACACCCATTTCCATCCTTGGCTACCCTGCATGGGGGAGGTGGCTGGCTCCCAGACAGCAGCTACTCACAGACTCAGTAGATCATGCAGGGAATCAGTGTCCTTACAACTCTCTACTCCCTACCTAATCTTGATTCAGTCCACAGTGGCAATCCCAGCTGGAAGCCTAAGAAAAGATCAGTAAAGCTGTATTCTCCTTAGAATCAGTTTGAACTGGATTCTCACTTCTCTTCTCTCTGCATGAGCACTAAGCCCCAATTTTCTCTGTCTGTCAATATATGTCCATTGTACAGTCTTCCTCATGCTCCTTCCTTTGATTTCTTTTCATCCTCTCTTCTCCTACAGGTCTCTCTTACCATTCTTGCTTTATCTTTAAATGACTGAAGAAACATAGAGTCTTTTTCAAACAGCACAGTGTTTTACATCAGCTGTAACATAACGTACCTCTTTACAACTGATCTGCCTCCCTCATAAGGTAAGATACTCTATGGATTTTGGGAAAAGAAGGAAAAGAGGCATCTAAAAAATAACTCTTGTGGGTATAGAAGGGAAAAAATAAGTAGTTCTATAAGAAAAGATCATTAGCCAAGCCAGCTGTGATTTTGGACAGTGTTCAGAAGCAAAAGTACAAAGGGAGATATACAGGTTGCATACCTGCATGCACATGAAATGGTTGTGTCATTTTTCCAGGTATTTTTACTTTTAGGTTGCTGGAAACAGTTAAAATCTGAAAAGTTGGAAATTATCTATCTTTTGGCTGAGGCAGAGCCAGCTTTCCAAATCTTGTAATATTATTGCCAGTATCAATGCACTGCTAATGTTTTCTCTTTAAGTCCCAGGTGCTAGTAGCAAGAGATTGCAAAGGAATATCAATTTTCATTTTTTGAGTGTATTTTGAGCCCTTCTGCTCTCCGCGAAAAGTTTGATGCTTCCTCAGAAGTGTAGTCTAAAAGAATAAAGTAGGAAGTAAACAAACTAGTCTCACACTTTTCCAAAGGTATGGATTTGGAAGATTTGAAACTGATAATACTGTGTATCATAATTTTAATCCAGTTGCAGGAAAATATTCCTGTTTGTAGTACTTAAAATGTTATTGAAAATGCAGTAAAGGGCTTTCTTCACTGTAACCTGTTATGTTCAGGTGCTTTCCTGATTCAAGACCTTTCTAAAGTTACAGTCTGAGCAAGACAAAGAAAGAAGTTAGTTGCTTTGCAAAATTAGACTCAATTACATAGACAGAATTCGTGCCAGTGCTGAGATTTGTATCTACCAACTTTAAACGTAGAACAGATTTCTTACTGCTAAATTGGAAATGCATGAAAATTCAGCTTATAATGAAATCGTTACACCAACTTTAAAAAAGCAGCAAAATTGTAATATAACAAGTCTTTCTCCCAACAATCTTTTATTGATCTTTCTAGTAACTTTACAGTTAGATGAACTAATATCACAGTAGAAGTAACTTGTTTCTAATAATTTATGTATCAGCTATGGCACGTTTATATACAACACAATATACAGAGCTGAAACATGTCAGTGCACAAATTTTGTAAGCCATCTGCATATACTTCACTGATGGAAAACAATTTTAAACTATCTTCCCGAATTACTGCAAAGTGCAGCTTTCACATTGAAACGCAGAGTATATTCTTAGATGCTGTAAAGATTGCACCTCAGTGTAGGCCAGAAAAATTGAAAGAACTGTTTGATATAGGTCGTCAGTGAAGTTCACTAAATTTGTGCTGGGTCAGGATTATAAGAAATTCTAAGAAGCGCACCATTCTATATGGAGAATGGTCCCTATGCGACGCTCCAGAAAAGCTGCTGATCATCTAGTAGTGCATTCAGCTTCCTCTGCATAGGGGTTCTCCTGTGTACAGTTTGACAGGCATTAAATATTCAGTTGGGCCATTTCCCAGATTCTTCTTTCAGGATGCCTTTAGCGTTGTCCGTGAAATAAACGTTCTACAAACTGCCATGTAGTGCACTAGTCTGCCTTTGAATCCTGGCTGCTCCTCAAGCTCTCAGTGGAGGTGAAGTCTATTTTATTCTTTGACTTTGAACACTTGTAAGCTGTGCTTTAAGGATAACATGTTATCCTTTGTTCTACAGCACTTCCCTTACTGAGGTCATCTTTCCTATTGCAGTGTTGGGGTTAGTGTCTTCCCATTGAAGACACTAATATTTGTAGCTTATTTCAGCAATGATAATACATACTAAGGGAAATTAAACACTGAGTTAAACGCAGAGAATAGAGGTTCACAGGATTTGCACTAACAAACCTGCCCCACTGATCCCTCCCCAAGAAAATTCTGTGAGCAAGGACATTTGAAATAGGCTCAGACTGATGCTTGTAGCGACCAGCAGTGAGATACGTGCTGTTATATGATTATTTTTTCTATGTTTGTGCTTGTCCTTCCAGCCATTGAGAAACATAATGCTTGTAGGAGGTTATGCTTGCCCTCATGGACTCAATAGGACCATTTCTATTCCTTTCAGAAAGAGGGATTCTTGCCGATGTTTTTTATATCTCTTTTGTTATATGGGGGTGATCAAAATCTAAAAAATGGAGACAAAACAATTGGTCAACATTCCAGAAGTTTTTATTGCATGTTATGGTGTCTGAGAAGAATGATTCAAATCAAAATGAAAACGACTCTCAGAAGATTGAAAATAGCTTGGTTCATCTTTGCACAGGAGAAATAAAAACAAATAAGTAAAAACTGTTAAGTGTAACATTGTAACTGCCTACCTAGCAGCCTATATTCAGGTGAACTCCCATTGGCTTAACCTTATTCGGTGTACATTTCATCTAACAGGTCCTTTATCACAAAAATGCTTTAAATACCAAGAAAGACAAGACAGGAGACAGAGGCGGCCTTTTAAGAAAAGATTATAGAGAAGTATGATAAAAGTAAAAGGGAAATAATTTCAAGCAAAATCAAGAGTGATCGTTGTCTGACACTAGAATTAATAATAAACAAAATGAAATGCAGCCAACATAAATGAACTCAAGTTTCCCAAATGTAAAACTCAAAGAATTTATTAAATATAAAATCATAACTCTATCTTTATTCTGTATGTACTTGGCTCTATGAGTATGAAAAGTATGTCGTAGCTGGAAAATAACGTAACTGCTGCTTGGTAAGTAATACCTTTATTTTGTTTGCCTTTTTAAAGATGTAGATTTTTTAGAAGCTGCCATTTACATCCATGCTTTTTAGTACTTTATGGCTATGAAGCAAGCTTTGAAATGCTGAGATAGTTCTGATTTCTTGGATTGGTAATCGGCTCCTAAAACAAGACCTCTGATAGTGTCATAGATTATGTGGAGGATGTTAAAAATTATCTTCTTAGGACCTTGTCACGAAGGGCATTCATGTTCTTGCTTTACCAGGAGAAGAAGTTGAGACATTAATACAGTTAATATTAAGGAATAATAGGAAAAAAAAGCAGGAATAATTATGCATGATTACTTAATATAATTCAGTAATTCACCTATATTGGGTTAAGCTGTGCTTCTGTTTCTTGAACTATATGATTTACACGCTATTCACTCTTTTGTTGCAGGGCTGTAACAGTACGGACAACAACTTAAAGAATCATTGAACACTGTCCTCAGAGGACAACTGCATCCTGGTAAGAGATGTTATACTACTATTGAGGAGCAGCGTTTTAGGACCTCACACTGCATTTTTATGAATATAGGTGCACCTGAGTCTGCATCACATGCAGAGAAATGTTTCTAGTTCACATCAAAACTAGTTCACATCATTTTGTGAGGTCAAAATGTGGTTATGTACCTCTGCCCCTCATATAATGCATATTGTTCTGGAAATGTTTCCAGACAAGATTTCCGTATCCAGATAGAAATTAGGCCTCTGCCTTGGCCAAAATAACATAAAGCTGTTCAGCAGACTACAGATCAGAGAGTTCAATTATTCAAACACAAAAGAGTGAAGATGAGAGAAGGGAGAGCTGCAGGTTGGTTGACTTCCAAGAAATTTGTGCCTGACCTATGGCACGTGACACTAAACAGCTGCCCGTGGAGACAGTTATGGTCTATAAGTTGTCATTACATTCAGTGGTCTTAATGCTGACCACTGTCAGTTCGTTTTTAAGCATACTCCGTTGAGCCACAGGTCTAAAGGTTTGATTGTCCCTCTATAAAGAGTGAGTAATTCCTCTGCTTTTAGCAGTCTGCAATACAGGAAAAACTCTGTTATGCATGTGCGGTTGTTTTTCATGGTTGAGAATTTTTATGTAAGGATTCTGATTTATAAACTTTGCAGATGTGTATTTAAGAGCAATTCAAGAATTTACCTTCCCCCAGTTGTCTGTGTGGGGATGGTACTTTCCTCTTTGCCGGAGGTCGTTGCTCTTACAGTAGAGACAACTGAATGGGTGGTGCACATGTGCATGGTTCATCGCCTGGCACATTGATTTCAGCTTACATTATTTACAGGCTGAGCTATGAGTGTAGTGTAGGAATGCTTTGATTCATCATCCCCATGGGACTTATCATCTCTGTTGCACTTAGCGGCAGTAGCTAAAGTGCTTATCAGTCCCCGCGGGTTATAGCCAAATTCCGCGGGTATTGTGGACAGAGTCCTAAATCCACCCCATAGGGTGGACACTGTTTCCCACCCTGTGCAGCTCGCTCTTTGGAAGGGGGCAGGAGGAAGATTAACTGGCTTCCAGTGTAGCTGTGTCAGCACAATCAGCTACCCCTGCTAATTAGGAGAGGGCTAGGTACATCCAGGCTCATTGTCCCGAGAAACTTTGCACTCAGGAGTTCAGGAAGCTGAAGTGCTAAAACTGGCCATTTGGGATTAAACCTTCAGAAGGATTTGGAAAAATCAGTAACTATCTTTGTAAAGCCTAGCTTTTAAACAGGGAACTGACCTGTAGGAACCGTTATCCTGTATTAGATACCAAGGCTGCCACATATAAAGGGAAACTGGCCACCTAGGAGAAAATCCCAGGAGGCATCAAATCAGGGAGAAATTGGGAAAAGATTGTGAGTTGTAGGACAAGTTCTGAATAGTCAGCCCTCCAAGGCCAGCTACTTTCCTAGCCTCGCCGTGGAAGAAGGCATCAGCCAGGATTCTCAGTTCTGGGAGTGCTACTGCAGTTGGACTCATAAACCAGTCTAAAGTAAAAATGGCATTTCTTAGATCTTCCTGGGAGATCGGTGATCCCAGCTGTGATTTCACCTCTAATTGTTTTCCATATCTATCTCTCCTGCTTCCCAAAAAAGTACCCCCCCACACCAAACTAGCAAAGTATTTCCAAATGAGTATCTGCTGTATTTTGTGTATGGTAGAACATCTTGATGAGAAATGCAACTTCTACATCTGTTCCGCTTCTGTAGAAAAAGAGATTGAACAGTTGTCTCCTACATGCCAAATAGACTAGTTTACCTTAGCAAAATGCTACTGTGGATGGTACTCATCTCTTTTCTTTTGTTTGAATAATGTGCAGTCTGAGAGTGACTATTCTAACAGACCTTTCTGGGATCTAGTTTGTGTATACACCTGGAGCTACTTGGCACACTCAGGATTTTGTGAATGTCAGCCAGCAGGAGGCACTGAGGGGCCACTGTGGATGTAAACCAGGAGAATTTAAGCACCTCTACAGTTAGAAAGCAGTTACTCAGAATTTCTGAAAATTCTTAATAACACATTTTAGAAATAGACACCTTAATTCACAGATCCCTTTGTGGATTTGGCCTTTGTAACCTGGAAGGTATTTCAAAATGTGTTGGTGAATCAGTGGGAGTTAAGGGCTTTGATATCTTGTGTGCCAGATTCCATTTTTAAGCATCTAAATACCTTTAAATGTCTGGGCCCTGAAGAGTTCTCTGAAGCACACCAAAGTGTCAGGCTTTTCCACAGACAGAAATGACCTTCCTTGAGCAAAGAGGTTGTAGCACAGAACAAAGAAATGCGTACAGTGTTCAGTAAGATCAGAAGGTTCCTTAGAGTTATGCATTCCTATGTAGGAAATAAAACTGTAGAAGATATCCAGGCATTGATAATTATATTCAACCCATTAAGTGCAAGCGTCATACAGAGAAGAATCATTTAGAGTTGACAGGTTTTTGTATTGCCACCCTTAGGCTTACCCCATGTTTAGAGTAACCCCCATTGCTTTCCATTGACATTAATGACCCACTAACAGTTAGATTCAGTGGTTGGCAGAGTGCCAACTTTCCCCTATGCCGATCCCCACCTCCTGCTAGCTAAGCTCTCTTGTTCTCTGGATGCTGTTGCCAAGCTGGGGCCAAAGGGTGGGGCAACAGCAAGTGCACCAGAACTAGCTCTTCCCAGCATAAGTTGGTGTTACGGCCACAGCTTTATCTTTGGGGATGATGGCAGCAGAAAGTGTCAGTCTCCAAGGATAGCCTTCATCACTTGGCAGCCCAGCTCTGCTCCTTCACCTCCTTCCAACCCAGAAGGTTCAGGTGTAAAGTGGGGGGGGAAAAAAGAATGTTTTTTTCACTGTCCTGTATAAACCAGGAGAAAACAAAAGATCCAAAGTCGTGTTTTCACTGTCTGGTTTGTGGGTAAAGCAAGAGGAAAAAAAAAAAAAGAAAAAAGAAGGAATGAGACCTGTCTGTCTTGCCAGCTTTCTATAGTTCCCTGAAACCTTCCCTTCACCCCCCTCAGAGCTCCTCAAACTTCAGTATTTCCCACTTACCCTCATTCCCTTACTCCAGGAAGCTGATGTCTTCACTGACTCCTTCCAGTCCCACAGCCATACCCCTGAAGCCGAGCAGTTTGCAGGGAGGCTGCTGCAGTGAAGCAGGGGGAGCCCTACTTCTTGCAGGAGTGGAGGCTGGAGGTGTTTGACTGCATGGGGATGGGTGCTGGGAAGGGGGTGAGCGAGGAGCGCAGCTTCCATGCCTAGGGAAATGCCTACCCTGGGGTAGGCAGTCTGGTTTGCATTGCAAGGGAGTCTGAGTGAGCTCTGACTGGCTGCTATAACTTTGCTCCAAGGGGGAATGCTTTCTCACCCAGCAAAGCCCTTTGAAGTCAGCGGGGCTCCTCTCATGTGTAGGTGCTCACTACTGAGATCAAGGAGTGTATAATCAAATCTGAAGTATTCTGCCCTGGAGCAACCATTTGTTGCACTTCTCCCAGGGCCTGAACAATCAGTACTTCTGTGGGTCTGCACCTCAGTGTTGTACATAGCTGGTACTTACCTTAAGCTTGTTACTTTGACAAAGGTAGATAATTATTCCAGTATTTCAGTCTTCTGTTTTACTATTATCCTTCTTTGTCACAGTTCTCATACAGAGAAGAATCCTGTAATAATTATATTCTGTGAAGTTCATATAAGGCCAATGTTTCTTCTGCATTTTGCCTTTGTGTAACTATCTTCTGTCTGATACCAAACTCCAATGTTGAAAAGTAATATTTTACTCAGTGATCAGCAAGGATGGGGTTAACTATACCGTTAACTATACCCTTACAATATATGCATGTTCTTTGAAATTAACCTTTTAATTTTGATTAACATCCTGGTTAACAAAGTGTCCATGTATATTTTAGATAAGAATATATTTGACTTTTGAATACATATCTCATCCTATTAAAGGTTAGTTACTTCAAATTATGTTAGATTTATGGAACAGATGCCTACTGATTCTTTCTCTCCTTTTTTCTTATTCTTCAGTTTCTCCTCACTTGAGTCTGATCTTTTTGAGGCAGTGGAATAGGTTGCTGATTAGAAAGAGAGTCTTTTTCACACTGCTTTAAAAACTAGTTTGGCATGGGATCAGATGTAATGTGATACCCGAGTAAAGATGTGCACATAGAGCATAGTGGGTATAAATGACACAGAAAAATAACAAGAGAATAAGATAGTGGAAACTGAGATTAATAGAGAGAAAAATAGGGGAGACATAGAAATAAAGCAAACAGCAGAAAATAGAACTTTATTGCCTCCTGCTATTGTAATAGCCTCACTAGAAATGCGTAAGTTGATTCAATTCATAAACTGTTAAATCCTCTTCTCCAGATGAGAAATGGTAACAATGTAAAATTCATGGTATTGTGACTGCCCTTTATCGACAATGAGCAAACAGCCATGACTTCTGAGCAGCTTCAGCTGCTCAAATAACATCTCCACTACAGCCTAATGCTAGAACTTCAGACTGCACAAGAAATGTCACAGAAGCTTAAAAATTTCTTAACATAAAGTGATTATTATGTATCCTAGGCTTATTGGTCTCCCAGCTATTCATATTCAGGCTTTGAACTGTCTGCTTTTATTCCAGCTCCACCATCCCAGTTACATAGAAATTGTTCAGGAAATCAGCACCAGTCGTCTTTGTGACTGGTAAGTAAATCAAAAAACAAGTGGGGAAAAAAGCAACAAGCCGTTTGGGAAACTGAGAGGTTCTTTATCACACTTGCTTGATGATACTGAAGCTACTATAAAATGAGCTATTTTTAAGGCTCTCAATTAGGAAGGAATGAATAACGGAGGTTATTAACGTTAGAGTCATTTGCTTCAGGACTGTTATTTCAGCTCTCATTTAGGCTGATAGTTGCTGAAACTTGTTAGCGGCACAGCAACTCTCTCCTGGTCTCAGTCCATTTCTAGCAAATTAGGGCTCACAGAACCCTACTGGCGTGAACTGTCCTGTCAAAGCGACCTCTTATAAAGATGCAAGATTTTGATGTCTGCACATGTCAGTTAAACATCTCCTAAAGGTATCCTCAGGCATCCTGAACTGTTTGTAGGTGAACAAAAACTCTAAATTTAAGAGGATTCTGACTTCTTATTTATGCACACATACAAACAGAGTGTTCCCAGATGCTGAGATTATTGATTTGCTCTGTTTTGCTAAGAGAATAACAATGGCATAAAGAACAGGAGTTTTGTTGGAGAAATAATGAAGTGAAAAATAAAGATCAACAACAATTACACTAATGAACAGTTATATAAAATCCATTCATTAAGAGGCAGGAAAAGAAAAGGGATTATAATCCTGAAAGGATTTTAGACATGGAAAAGGTAATACAGTGGATAGCTAGATCTGGTATTACCTCACAAATAATGCTGTATATGAGAGGAAAACCAGAGAAATAAAATTTTCCTCCTAAAATTTTACCTACAGGAGAAAAAAGATTGACTTGAGGCTGCATAAAAGAGGTGTTTTACTAATACCTGTAATAACTTTTTTTTTCTACAGGACTACCAAAAAATAGGGACTGACCAGTTTCCCATCCAGTCACTCATCTTGGGACATGCCATGTGCTCTATAAAGAGAGTAAAGAGTGGAAAGTTATGGGGAAGTCCAAACCAGCAGTAAGTAACAAAGAAGAGAATGAAATATGTTTATTTGAACCATTAAAGGAAATCAAGCTTTTATCACTGCAGTTGCAGACTGATATGTAGTTCTCTAAAATCTGAAGAAGAGCTTATTAAAAAACAAAAAACATGGAGACAAGGTGGAAATTGCAATTGCCTTGGTTGGCTGCCTGCCTGAGATCCCAAAGAACAAAATTTAAAAACTGTGTCTTTAAAGATGTGATGCTTAACTAACAACAGCAATAAATCTCTGTCAGATACTCATTTGCCTCAACAGCACCCAAACACAATGCAGATAACTTACTAGTTTATTGCAACAACAATAAAAACTGAAAGCACTAAAACGCACAAAATTGAGCCTGAATATTTGTTTGCCCATATTTTCCTGCATATTGCAATGTAGTTACCAATTAGTGGAGCTCAGCTTGACTTTCCTGTGATCACAGATTCACTCTTATGTCCTTGTTTTTTAAGCAGTAACCATAACAAATCCTTATATGCTTTTGAATCATGATTATTACGTTCATGAAAAGTTTCTGAAAGTAAAAATATGACAACAGTATCTTTGTCTTGAGATAAGTTTTCTTACCAGCTTTGAAGTTGTTTTTTGTCTGAAGCCTTATGTCCAATAATGTTAGAACATTAAAAAGCAAATGATTTTGACATTTCATTTTAATAGCCTCACTTTGCTTTTGCCAAATATGAAAAGTTGAACTTCTGGGACATGTACTTTCCTCAACAGTGTATTTTTGGGAACACTGAGCTGGGGAGTGAACAAAAGGGAAAAAAACAATTGACTCAATATCAGAATAATAACCCCTTTTGGCATGAATCACAGGCTTTTTAAAAGATGGAAGGAGGGAAGAAAAAATCTTGCTCCATTCTCCATTCTGATATTTGTAAACATATGAATTATTCACAATGTAGTCTAGGCCTCTGTCTTGTTCAGACAATAAACTTAAGATTCCTCCCTTCAGAGTGTTCACACTTTGTGAACCCAGTGATGCACCACCCTAAGCTATGTAAGAGAAGAAGATGCATTTAGTTTAACAGAAGAACACACTGCACATGCAGTTTTAGGAGAATCCTAGATATTTCTGCATGCCGGTTCCTTATAGCTCAGAAACACATGAATGTGTCTCCTTCCATGGGACCAAATGGAAAAAATCCAGAAGCGAGAGACAAGGATGATCCACAGAGGAAGAAATTGCCCTTCAGAAACAAATTGAAGGAATTGGCATTTTTTTCTCTAAAGGAAAAAAGAAGATTGTTGTCCAGGTGCCCTCTCTAGCTCATGAAGTCTTTGTATCGTGGGTTGGTAGAGGTTGAGAGGTTGTATGTGCCCCAAGAGAAAGAGCCTGTGTGTCCCTCCTTTCTACTCATCTAGCACTAGCCACTGTCAAACACAAGATATTTGACTAGATGGATCTCTGATACGACCTAGGAAAACAGAATTTATCCTTGCACACAGCGCTTGTATTTTTATAACCTTCCTGACTGTTGCAATTGATAGCTTAGGAAGTATTTCAGAAAAAGTGGTAATTGAAAGAGGAATTGATGTAGCAGGAAGACCCAGAGAACTGAGAGAGGATCCTGGTCAGCATTGTTGCCGGATGGAGAAAAAAACAAGATTACAAACCAAATGGAATGTTATCCATGCAGTTTTTTAACAAGATATAACAGATTGTCACATTTGGAAAGATCCATATTAGTTTTACAGATAATCAAACACTGTCTGAATTTTTTAAACTAATGATACGGAGAATATTTCTGTCTTCTATCTTTTTCTTTTTTGGTCAACAGTATACATGTGTTAGGAATGGAGATTCATAAGAGTTTGGAATTTTGCAAAAACTCTAGGATTCCTTATAAAAGTGTGGGTTTCCACCAAAACAATCTGAAGGTGGAAGTCATTTCCTTTGTACTCTTAGAATAGATTTTTCAATTACAGTTTAACAGTGTGTGCTATTAAATGACTGGAGAAGAGCATTTACCTGTGCACAGATCTACGCAGAATAATCTAGTACAATAGGAAGTGCAAATTGTCAAGAGCATTATAAAAATACAGGCACCAAGTGCAAGAGTAAGTCTTTTGAGACAGTCTGTTAAAAACTGAGGCAGTTTTTTTTAAGCTCTGGCATACTGAAGTAGAAAGCATCTGTGCCATTAGGTGTTTTTTATAGGTAGAGGTAATTGTTCTTAATTATAGCTAAGAAACTTGTTTGAATCTGATCCCAAGAAACTTACAGTTCTTTTCAGAAAGAAGCCTAGACATAGTCTGTGCTTCAGAACAGTACTTTAATGCTCTTGAAACAGCCCTTTCACTTGCCATCTAAGGTTCCCAAAGTAACTTGTTCAAATTGTGCTCAATCCCACCTTAAGAATAAAAACCTATTGCAGAAAAACTTGTTCTAGTAAAGTGCTGAGCCCCTACATCAGCTCAAGACAATTATATGAAGTCCTGTTCTTACACTGAACAGACAAGTGAAGTCTGGAAATTTTTGTGTAACGCATTTGTTCGGCAACAGAATAAAGTAGTACAAATTGTGTTGTCAGAGAGGAGGAAGCAGTTACATTTTCTGATTTCAGTGTGCTGCTCTGTGGGAAATGTACAAAATACCATCTAAAAGCATGAAATAAAGTAGAGGCCGGAGGATTATCTCTCCTAAGCAAAGCTGCCAAAAATATTTATGGAACTGCAAATCTCAAGAGCATAAAGCAATTCATACCATGTTAATGTTTGTACTGGGAACTTTCCATTAGTAAATATATGAGAGGGAATAATCATATCCATCCATCTGCTTAGTGGCTGTTCAACCATGGAAGTTGCTACATGTCAATTATTAATCCACCTGGGATTAGCAAACCTTTTATTGAGGGCTAGTTTTCTCTTTATTTGTTCATATTTTTTTCTGCTATTTAAAAATATATTTTCTTACATATTTCTTGCAGATATTGCAGATGTTTTCTTTTCACTGATATGTTCCTTTTTTGATACAGTTCTACAATCAATCGCATTACTTTTTTCTAATAGAGTGATTCGGGTAAATGAACCAAATCATTTTCAACTTACTCAAGTTCTTTCAAGACTCTAACTTCGATGCCTTTGTTACAATGAAAAGTTTGTTCCACTGATAGTCATTAAGATTTTTGAACAGCCATGCTGTTGTTATTTTTGTTGATCAGGTAGTGAACTTGCCTGTTTCTGGCACAGCAACTGACAGGAATGCCAAAAAGTGTTCATAAAACGAAACTCAGAAGTGTCTATTCCAGATAAAACAAGAAACCAGTGAGAAAGGCTTCTGGTACTAGTACTTAAAAGCTAATCAAGCAAGTGATGTGTAACATTAAAGAGAAATTAACTTCAGTGAAAGAGAGTCATTTTTTGAAGCCAGCCAGTAATACCACACTGAGAAATCATTGATTTTAGCTGGAATCAAGAAAGGTCATTTCATTTTTTGTTGCTGCATGACGTTGCTTTTCACGAGTTGATTTCTGTCTGGACAGTCTTCATTACTAATGCCACTGTAATAGCACAGGGGTATAATTACATAGCATCAAAGAAAATCTTTGCAGTAAACATAGGTATTAATTCAACTTACTGATCAGAACTGTTGTAGAGAAAAAGCTAATTTAATCATGCTAATCACTGAGCATGACTCATCATGAACAACTTAATTTTGCAAATGCATGAATAAACAAAGAGACCAAAAAATAAGCTTCATGCATTACAAGATATTTTTTCTTATTTTTTAAATTATTTTAGAAGAATACAGAAACCATTAGTAATAAGATTACAAATTCCAGCTTAAGTTTACCTATTAAGTCCTTACCAAAAGGCAGGTAAGTAGTGTTAGGTATATAGCCTATATGAAAAGTTTGCCAATACTAAATAGCAGTGTTTCACTCTATCTTGCTGTGTTACTATTCTCTAGTAGTACCGAGAAAGCCAAGTGAATTAGAATCCCACCACGCGGAGCATTGTCATGCAGATGCACACAGTAGGAGATAGTCTGTGTCTCAGGGACATCACACTCTGTATAGACACAGGTCCTTGGCAGAGAAAAGAAACAGATAACTTCACTCAAGTTCACTGACTTTCCAAGACAGTTCAGTAACAAAACTCAGACCAGAGCCCAACAGTGCCAGCAGTCGCCAGCCTTTCATTTCAGTCTTTTGTGCCCTGCCTCCCCTGCCAGCATAAGCAGCAGGACTTCTTGGCTCTTCTGCCACAGCTTTTACTCTGCGCCAGGCTGAAGTCCTGTTTTTTTCGTTCTCTTTCTTCTAAGAAGACTGAAAGTGGACTGGATACAGAAAAGTTAGAGGAACTAGAAAGAGACAGATTTTATTCTTGACCAGGGCTGGTTTATATCCTGCAGACAGAGTTCTTTGGAGGACTGTCAAGACCAGAATGCAACCTTAAATGAGAAATCCCTATCTCTGTAAAGCCATAAACATACAAATGCGTATGCAGCCAAGACTTACACAAGTATCTTCACTTTTGAGAAACGGAATTGTGGGTGGTCAGCCTCGGCAGTTACCTTGTGCATCTGTTTCCCCGCTGTTTCCTTGGCCATGAAAGTATACCATAGAATCTACCTATGGAAAATACCTGCTGAATCCTGAGCAAATAGAACAGCCAATAAATCAGTCAGGCTTTAAGTCTCTTACTTTATGTTAACTGGTTTATACATTCTTAATGTACAGTGTGCAGCATTAAAGAAATATATAGATGACATTTGTGGGGGGTTAATGAAAGGTAACTTGCGCATTAAATAGATAGAATAAATACATCTTATGAACCTATTTCTGTCAGTAGTATATGGTGTTTTTAATGCCATGAAGTAATGTCATTTCCAGGTGGTTTACTTTCCCAGATTTCTGATAAAGTGAGGGGAAAGTAGACATACGGCTTTATTTATTACAAATTATTATTATTTGCAAAGGTGTTTTAAAATTGATTTTTTTGCATAAACGTAGCAGATTTCCTTGTTTCA